TATATGAATTGTGTAATTATGTACAAGTGCGATATGTGAAGTTGAAGCGTATTAGGGTTTTTGACCTAGAGAAATGTTTTAAATGGATCTTTGATTTATATGTTTAATTATGTACAAAAGAAAAAGAAAGTGTTTTGATTTAAATGTTCAAGTTTTTAATTAGATGTGTTATGTATAAAAAGAAAGTATTTTAATTAAATGAGTATTTTCAATACATGATAAAAAAATGTATAATATTAATATTTCGAAATTTATGTATAAAGCATTAGTTTGTAAGAAAGTATTTAACTAAAATGATAAGAATAAATCATAAAAAGAAAGTTTAACATTTTAATTACCTCTTCTTGACTATATTAGTATAAGAAGTTTTTTTTATTAAAAAAAAAGAATGAAGTTAGTGTTATAAAAAGGGTTAATTGTTAGTAAGAGATAAATGATTAATTGTAAAACATTAACTTGGGCTTCAGAGAAAAAATGAGAACGGGTCAGGCCCAATGCTGGAAACAAGTTTAGGGTTAGGCACTTGTTTGTTCAGAACGCATCAGGGTTTGAACGGCGCCGCGTTCGTACGTTCGTCTTCGTCGCCTTCTGACCAATGCTCCTCCGTCCGGCCACCGGCATTGCTTCCCAACCTCTCTTCCCTCCAAGGCGTAAGCTTCGCGTCCTCTTGACTTAGGGTTCGTTCCAACGTTTTATGTCCTTATCTCTTTTCTTTTACGAATTGCATGTTTTTTATTTGAATTTTTGACTCTTAAATCTGTGCTATTGTGAGGTGGTGGAGAAAGAGAGGGAGAAAACTCACTACCTGATCTTGGAGATGGAGGAGAGGTGGAGGGCGTGATGCTTAGGAGGCCGGAACGGTGATTCGGTGACGAAGCTGGATGCTTGCTTCGCTTCTGACGCTTTCCTGGTATCTTTATCTCTTCTACTTTCGTCCCTTTGAATTGTTGGTGGCCTTGGAATGTATTTGCTTGTGATGTATGTTTACTGAGTTCGTCTCTTCTTTCTTCTCTTGAACGCTGTATGCTTGCTTGTATCGCCCTGTGATGATCTCAGAGGTCTGAGGGCCTAGGTTGCCTTTGAATTGTGGAAATGCTTTCTTGAACAATTTGCCTATGTTGTGGCCTATGATGCCCTGAACACGCTTCTGAGTATGCCCTTGACGCTTGCTCTCTTCTTCTCTTATTGCTGTATGCTTGTTAATCGCCTATGATGTTAATTTCTGAGGCTTAGAGGTTGGATAGTTTTAGGGATGGTTGAGATTTGGTATATTTTCTGTTGAGCTGTGTGTTTGGTGGTTTATTGATAGGCATGGTGAGGTTTTACAGGTTCTTGAGGTTTGGCCAATGATGAAGAAATTCTGAGGCTGTGGTGCTGGATGCTGTTTATGGGGTATTGGTGATTCTGGTTTTATGTTTGGATGATGCAGGCAGCATGTTATGTTGTTGGACCTGGTGTGCTTCTGGCTTTATCAGGTTTTTTTGATGTGTTTGATGGTTGTTTCAGGTTTTTATATTCTGTTAGTAGATTGGTATGGTTTTGGTTATATGGTTATGGTGGGTGCTGGTATGAAGCTTGAGATGGTCGTTCAGGTTTGATGGTTTTTTGTGTGATTTATGCTGATGGGTTTGAAGTGTTTCAGGTTGAGGCAGGGTTGATGAGGTTTTTTGTGAGATTCATGCTGATGCAGGTCTTGCTTCAGTATGTATGTATTTGGTTTTGGATGATGTGTTTTGATAACTTGTGAAAATCTGGACAGGTATGAGGTTATCTCCTATCTTGGTTTTGTTCTGAGTTATACAGGTGATATTGGTGCTTGGCTCAATCAGTATGTTTTCTTGTGTTCTTTTGTCCTCTTTCTATTGGTCTTTGGCGCCCAATCTTCATTCAAAACTTTTGGTTTTCTCTTTGACCCAAGTTTGCTGGGCAGTTTCACAAGGTGTCTTGGCATTTTTCCATTTTTGGTAACTGTCTATGCTGTGTAGTTTTGAACAATGCTGAATTGTATCCTCTTTTTTGTATATCTTTTCTGTCTTGTTATACTGCCTATGCCTAAGACCTGAACTCTGCCTATGCTCTTTATCTCTCTTTTTCCTCTCCAAAGTACAGTTAATATATTATTATATGATTTATGTTGTACTTGGTTCTGAAGGGGCCTATGGGAAATGATGACTTTAAGATTCAAGTCGCTTGCATACCACTTCTCTGCATCTTCATCTTGCTTTTGACAGCTTTGCTACATTTTTTGCATTTCTTTGATATCTTGGGATTTGACTTTGACAGCAATTGTACTTTTGGGTAATCCTTGAGTAAACTTAGGCATTTTGACCGTAACTTCTCTTTTGCTTTGGATAGAAAGTTGAAATTGGATTTTTTCAGTTTAGTTTGAATTTGAAGTTGAGATTCTATGCAGTCTTGAATTTTGGAACTCATACTTTTGACATTTGCATTTCATGAACAAAAAATCTTCCCTCTCTGTGAACCGGGAGAAATCCCGTGATTTGCAGAGAGGGTCAACTGATCCCAGTCAGTGGCCCCTAATGATGAGCAACTTTAACTGTCTTTTTATTAACTGCTTTCTGACTTTTCTTGTTTCTTTTCGCAGATAAAAAATGGAGCACCGGAGCGGAGTGAAGAATGAAAAATATTAGAACTAGGATAGTTTTTTTATTTTATGTAATATTTTAAATCAATGTATATTATTGTTCATAATTTTAAATTATAAACAACAATTTGTACAAATAATTCAAATATCAATAAAAGTCTAAATTATCCAATTAATTCTAATTTTCTTTATTGTTTATTTATTTATTTAAAATTCTTAGAATTAAAACAATTGAAAAATAAATTTCAATCATTCAATTTTAGAATAATAAATAACTTAAATAAAAACAACATTGATCAATTAAACCTGTCTTATTCAAAATCCAAAGCAAAGCAGCAGTTAACCCAAATGGACTGATCAAACGCATAAACACTGTGAATCCAATACTGCATCCTGTATTTGACTGACTCAAAGAAAACAACATGAATTCCAACCACTGTTTCTTTCACTGATTAAATTAAAACAATGCAAATTTAACCCGAATCTCGGAATAAACTGCGAAGTGCTGTGGAATTTAAATTCTTCTGAGAATATGCCCATAAAACCTTAACTCCTGATTAAATGCCAAGTAACGCTCGCCTGATCAAAATTGAACCAAAAATCATCCAAACCCTAAGCCAACTGCATGAAACAATCCAGAGCTCTGAAAATCAGTAAAAAAAACCCTAATTTTGCTTGACTGTCAAGAAAAATCCGTTTGTCCGATTCTTGAGCCAGTTTGAAAAGTCAGGAAATGTTTGAAGCTGATATTTCTTGGGGGAAATGCGAGGGCAAATTTTGGGGTACAACAGACACAAGAAAAAGCACTTGCCATCCGTTGGTTATTAGCGACATCTCGAAAATGTCTGGGTCGAAATATGACTTTTAAATTAAGTTATGAATTAATGAATTCTCCAAAGGGAGTGGTGATGTCATATGCAAAAAGGAAAAGACTCATAGAATCGCGGAGGCAAATAGAGCATTTGCTCATTTTCGTTAATCCATGAACATGATCTATATACACACATAGACCTATGGATCCATACATAAAGTGAAATTTTTTTGGAGATTCAATGTAATTACTAATTCATGATTTGACATGTACAGAATGAAAATCTCATTCTCGAGTCTACGAGAATTATTATGAAAGCCTTTCATTTGTTTCTTTTCGATGGACGTTTGATTTTTCCGAAATTGATCCTAACTTTGGGCCTAATTCTTCTTATGATGATTGATTCAACTTCGGATCACAAAGAGATATCTTGCTTTTATTTTATCTCTTCAACAAGTTTAGTAATGAGGATAACGACATTGTTGTTCCGATGGAGAGAAGAACCCATGATTAGTTTTTCGGGAAATTTCCAAACAAACAATTTCAAAGAAATCTTTCAATTTCTTATTTTACTATCTTCAACTCTATGTATTCCTCTATCCGTAGAGTATATTGAATGTACAGAAACGGCTATAATAGAGTTTATGTTATTCATATTAAGCGCTACTCTAGGAGGAATGTTTTTATGCAACGCTAACGATTTAATAACTATCTTTGTAGTTCTAGAATGTTTCAGTTTATGCTCCTATCTACTATCTGGATATACCCAGAAAGATGTACGGTCTAATGAGTCTACTATGAAATATTTATTCATGGGTGGGGCAAGCTCTTCTATTCTGGTTCATGGTTTCTCTTGACTATATTGTTCATCCGAAGGAGAGATAGAGTTTCAAGAAATAGTGAATGGTTTTATCAATACACAAATGTATAAATTCTCCAGGAATTTTAATTGCGCTTATATGCATCACTGTAGGAATTGGATTCAAGCTTTCTCCAGCCCCTTCTCATCAATAGACTCCTGACGCATATGAAGGAGTGTGGTTCGTTCGAGAAATTCTGACCGACCTCTCTTTCTATTTATGAGATGTTTGGATTTTTCAAAACTCTATAGACATACAGAAGAGATATCGGACCAAGACATAACTTTACTTCCATCGGATTTGTATTTGATGTTTTTAAATTTTAGCTTTCGTAAGATTTAAATACAATGATTGAAATTGATTGATATAATTAGTAATACATGCAGTCATAGATATGAATGAAAATTACACCACAATTACACTATAACAAATGTAATATAACAAATGTGATTGCACAAGCATAGCTCTTAATTTTCTTTTTGGCAGCCATGAGCATGTTAGAGGATTAACCGCATATGTTATGCTTTAAAGGAAACCCATCTCTCTTCTTTATGAAGTTTTCGAAAGATTTCCTTATTAAGCCTTATCTTTAAACAAAATAAGGGAAAGAGAGAGAAAAGGCCAAAAAGAAAACAACTAGCATTCTTATTTTATGGTATGCTCCTTTTGACGCGACAATACATATGACTCAACCCGTTGAGGGAGAAAGAGGAAACCATTAACCATGACTCACCTTTTCACTCGCTCAAAACTCGCTCGACTCGTTTCTTTAACTCATATTTCCAGATGTTCACTCAGAACAACAACAACAACAACTTCTTGCTCTCTCCGCCTATTCTCAACAAAAACTACTGCCAACTGCGGAGGAGAACAGACACCGGAAACGGAAAGGAGGAAATGGAAGCACCGTCGAATGGAGCTACCGGAGGAGCTGTCGAAAAATGTCATCGTACTTTCGTGTGAGTCTACGGCAAAGGGCGGTGTTTGTGATGTCTACGTTGTTGGAATCGTTCATATGTCAAAGGTATTCACTTGTTCTTTTATTCTTTAATGTGTGCATTTATACATTTGTTAGCAAAATTATATCATGCCTCTCTCTTTTTCTATAGGTCTCTTTGTTATTTTCGCTATACAAAATATATCAAAATTTAAATATCACTACTCTTATGGATGTTTCTGATACGGGTTAGGGGGCTTGGTCAGTGTGTCTGTGATTTGTGTTGCGGCAGATACATGTTGAATTAAAACTTTACTGTACCACTCAAATACCTTAATAATCTTCTAACTGCAGCCCAATGAGTATTGTAACACCCTAATTTTATCCGACGATTATTATAAAAATCAAGTTATAAAATTCCATCATACAAATTAGGATGCTACAATTTCAACTTAATACCTACGACATTTATTACAGATACATAACACATTAAACTGGAATTGAACCAATAGAAACATAATTTAATCTTTTAAAATTAACAACTTTCATAACTACATAGCAGAATCAAATATTCAACTTAAAAGAATATATCATCTTTGTCCAACTAAACAACTTCGAATAATAAGTACTTAACGAACAACAACTTAAGGTTCAATCAACTGAAATAATGACAATAATAAAACAACAAGCGTTCATTCCCTCGAGTGTTACGTATTAGAGCAATGATACTGACTCGAACTAATGAAGGTAAACTGTCTTCACTCTGGATTACCTGCACGTTACCAACATCGGGATAACATTTAAACGGAAGGGGTGAGATATCGAACAATATAATCAGATGTATGATAATATTACATTAGAATTAGTCTATGCCAAATCACCATTTCACAACTATAAACAATGTCAATCACAACGAAAACATCAACGAAACATAATAAATAATTTACCAACACAACAACTCAATATGCAATGTGAAATGCAACTTGTTACCATGCACATATACATGTGGTACCAGCGGAGCTGAACTCCCAACTTAGAAACGAAGCAGAAATCCCAACTTAGAAATTGTCATTTAATAGAGGCATCAACAAGGCATAAGCCTTCAACTTCAACTTTTTGCCAATCCAGGCCAACTTATTATGCTATGCATGTGACAACAACAACTACAACATCAGTCATTCAACAACAACACAACAACAACAATTCAACTACAACTTAACAATAATTTAACAACAACTTAATAATAATTCAACACTGGTCATAGGCCTACAACTTAATAATTCAACATTGGTCATAAGTCTACAACTTAATAATTCAACTTAATTCGATATTTGCCATAAGCCTGCAACTTAATAATTGCCAATTATAGATGCAATATAATATAACTCACCACTACCTGCAACTTCAACAATTAATAACAACAATACCACAACTTACACATGTCAATAATATTATTAACACGATCCTACAAAAATACTTCTACTAAATTAATCCGCCATAAGCCTCATTAATAGTTTTATGCTAAATTAGTGAAACTATTATTTTTCTGCTACTTAAATTATCTCTACTACTATTTTAGTTCTGCTATATACATATATCAACTCCATTAAATTAACTATACTATAATTAATTCTCTGTTGCTGCTGCTAAAGTATCCAACTAATTAGCTCTGTTAAATATCAACTCTACGATTTTCATACTAATCATCTCTGTTATAAACCAATCCTGCTATGTATTAATACTCTATTATTAACTGTTACTAAAACAACTCTACTAATTTACTACTCTGCTAATTAATAATTTCTGCTAACATTTACTACCATGTTACTCATTATTGTTAACTCTGTAACCAACCAATTACCTCTGCTACATCTACACCTACTTTACTAAATAAATTGAATTGATAACTCTGCTATTGTAATCAACCTTTTTCTATAACAACTATCAAGTAACAGACACGCAAAGCACAGAGAAATTAAAAGAAGATGCAGTAAATGGATTTGTGCCCCTCGGTTTGTGAACTGTGCCCCTCGACACAGAAATATGGTGTCGGTCGACACTCCATCACCACCACACTTTGTGTCGCTCGACACAAGTCTATAATTCCAAGTTTTGCAACTTTGTCCAAATTTTCCTGCGATCAGTAATTTCTTCTCTGCCCAAATCTCAGGTCAACACAATAATTATACCCACATCAATATATGACAATTTCCAACACTCGATTCATCGATTGAATCACTGCAACGTTAGCACAATTATCACAAATGCCAAACAACAATTTATTCATACAACCATCACATACAATAACAATTTCACACAACTCAATTTCCACGTAACATGCATCATATACCCAATTATAGAGTCAGAACCCCACCCTTACATTGGATTGAAGGTTGCTATATAATTCTTCAATCGAATCCCGCTTTACCTCTTTTCCTCTTCTCTGTAACTTCTACGTTCTTTTTCTCTCTTCCAATCCTTATTCTTCTTCCTCTTGACAAAACCTATTTTCCTTATTGTCACATCTAATTTCTATTATTATAACCAAACTCAATAATAATAGAATTATTTCTATTGGGCTTAATTCTCACACCCCCTTAGTACTACATACCACCATATAAAATAGGCCCAACAACTTAATCTTATATTATTCCATTAATTCCAACATTATTATTATTATTATTAATCAACTAATTAATTAATTAATAATAATCTAACAACTTATACCAACAATCCACAATATCTCACAACTTTAACAAATAATCCAAAAATAATTTAATTAAATTATTAATTAAATTAACGGGCGTTACAACTCTCGCCCACTTAGAAAATTTTCGTCCTCGAAAATCTACTCGATACTACCACTCTTAACGTGAATTTCGCATCTCATTCTTTGATCCCCAAGTCGCGTCTGACAACACTTCGACCACTACTTTCTCGAGATAACAATAACTCAACACGATTTAAATCTAATACACACATGCTAATCATCCAACACCTCCGCGATATAATCGATAACAACTTATCAACCACTTTAACAATATCTTGACATATCAACATTTTAAAGTAGTAACACACTTATACTTGGATATACAACATCACATTATCATCTTAACAACATCTTCAACACCAACAACATCTTCAACTCTATTCATATCGCCATATCACCCTTATAGTGACATCAACATAGCCAACATAATCAACTTCGTCATATTATAGAGTATTATTCATCCTTTACGGTAACCAACAACAACATCACAACAACGGGAACAAAATCATTATAACATCAACTTAACAGTATAACTCAACAAATATACACACAACTCACCATCAACTAACAACCACATTAATATCCTTATAAATCAGCAAGTATTTACGAGAAAACACAGTACCCTGGCACATCATCCCTATATCAACAATCCACGAAATCAACATGTAGATCAAGACATATCATTCCCGTATGCTTCTAATATTTAATCCTTTACTTCTAACGAGTCGTACAAGCATAACAACTACGCCACATCACGCTTCAGTTGTGTAACTCTAATCATACATCTTACGTCATTGTCCTCATTAAAATTTTCGTCAAATATATGGTTTACAAGTTTCAACCTAGCTTTGGACTTTATTTAACATCCACCATAAAATTATTGTTCACTTGATATACTCAATCTTTCACTTTGCGACGTTAGCTCGCATAAAAATCCGCTACTCCGAATTGTTCAATACGTCTCAACTCTTTCCTAGCCACTCCTCTATTACTTCACACAACTGGTGAGCGACTATCCTCACGATATAACATCAATCACTTTACACACCATTAAGGTGGCAAGACAAGTCTACACCATCCAACACGATCTCGTCTACTATCAACAAGAGATTAAGGGTGTTCAGTTCCTCAATTTGTCAATAGATAACCGACAACCATAATGGAGTATAAACCATTGTTACAAAACTATAATAGTGTTCCTTTAGAACATGTACTCAAGTCACCTAAAGCACCATAATCCAATAATCTCCAACGAGGTTCACAAATACTTCCACAATTTCCCTCTCATTCGATTTTGTCGATGAGACACCAACGCTTAACATATTACACGGTCGATATTACACTCACTTAGCCTCACACGAAAGTTAAGTATCCTCCAACTCAAGAATTACTTTCTTTATCTCCGCATCACCAGAAATAAAAATTCGATTATGGAATCTCAACACACCCTGCACATCTAACTTGAAATCATCATTCTCAGACTGATCGAGTCCAACCATCGAATCTACCAATTCCACATCTAACTTCTGAGCTTCTTTGATACTGTCCAGAAAATCATTCTTAATCTTCAACATCCTTAACATAACACTCTTCGGTGTCACTTCTCAAACTAAGCTCATATCTCTGAACTGTTCAATTAACTCCAATTCTTTAACCATCATTGCCGACATATGTAAAGTCTTTTGACTTAAAGCATCAGCCACAACATTAGCTTTACTTGGATGATAATTCAAACCGAAATCATAATCTTTCAACAACACCAACCATCTTCGTTGTCTCATATTCAATTCCTTCTGATCAAATAAATACTTTAAACTCTTACGATCGCTAAATAATTCAAATCTAGAACCAAAAAGACAATGTCTTCAAATCTTCAACATAAACACCACCGCTGCTAACTCTAAGTCACGCGTAGGATAATTCCTCTCATGAACTATGAGTCGTCTAAAAGCACAAGCAACAACTTGTCCATTCAGCATTAGCACACCACTAAGTCCCATCTTAGACACATTCATAATACACTACAAATGACTCACTCAGATTAGGCAAAACCAATACCGGAGCAGTCGTCAATCTTTTCTTTAGTTCTACAAAACTTTCTTCACATGCAATATCCCATACTTGAAATGATGAATGACTATCCTTTTTAATGCCGAACATCTCATTTCTCAACTTAATCGTTAATAACATATTATGCTTGACCTCGTCTCGAACAACTGCAATAATAATCATTTATGCCCAAAAAGCCTTTAGTTCCGTAAACGACTTCAGAGTTACTCCATATGGGAATGCATCAATCATATTTGAAAACACTTTC